CATTTTGTTGGGATGTTGATGTTCACTATGTAATTTTTATTTCTATTGCAATTTTCACAGACACAGCTTCACAAAATGTTTCACAGGAAACAAAATAGTCTGAACAGTAAAAGGACTGTGGGACAGCATTCCAAAGTCTTGTGGCCATCAACTGAAATGCTTGGTAGCCTCCTCGGTAAGGTCTATTCAGTGGTACTGGAGAAGTGAATCACATCTTTGGTCAAACCTCAGATCCAGGAGGAACAATGCAGGTTCTGTCCTGGCCGTGGAACACTGGACCAACTCTTTACCCTCACTAGGGTCCTTGAGTGGTCATGGGAGTTTTCCCATCCGATCTACATGTGTTTTGTGGATTTGGAGAAGGCTTTCAACAAGGAGGGGGTGTGCTCTGTGAGTATGGGATTGGGGGCCCGTTTCTACGGGCTGTTCAGTCCCTATACGAGCGGTACAAGAGTTTATTTTGCATTGCCGGTAGTAAGTCGGACCCCTTCAGGGTGGGAGTTGGACTCAGCCTGGGTTGCCCGTTGTCACCGGTTCTGTTCATAACTTTTATGGACAGAATTTCTCGGCGCAGACAAGGTGTTGAGGGGATCCATTTTGGTGACCTTAGGATTGCGTCCCTGCTTTTTGCAAATGATGTGGTCCTGTTGCGGTTCGGAGCGGTTTGCAGCCGAGTGTGATGGAGCCGGAATGAGAATCAGTTCCTCCAAATCTGAGGCCATGGTCTTGAGCTGGAAAAGGGTAGAGTGCCATTTCCGGGTTGGGAAGGAGGTCCTGCCTTAAGTAGATGAGTTCATAACGGGGTCTTGTTCACGAATGAGGGAGTAATGGAGCGAGAGATCGATAAGCAGATAGGTGCCGCATTTGCAGTGAAGTGGTCATTGTACCGGTCTGTTGTGGTGAAGAGAGAGCTGAGTCTAAAGGTGAAGCTCTCAATTTACCGCTTGATCTACGTTCCTACCCTCATCTATGGTCATGAGCTTTGGGTTGTGACTGAAAGAACAAGATCACTGATTCTAAAAAAAAGTTCAAGACAAAAACAACTGGATTTCATTTGTAACAGAAGATGTCACTGTCACTGGGTCTATGTTTCCCAGACCAGCTGAGAAACATAGACCCTCCAGCATGTCCTGGGTCTTCCTCTGGGTCTCCTCCTGGTGGGATGCCTCCTGGACGCCTCCCTGGTGAGGTGTTCCGGACACGTCCCACCAGGAGGAGACCCAGAGGAAGACCCAGGACATGCTGGAGGG